GATTCAATGTGCGGTTCTTATAAGTTATTGTGGTTTTGGAAACTTAAGTGTTCTCCGAGCACTGATGTGTTTATGGACTGATGTTGGGAATAAGTTTGGAAACTTAAGTGTTCTCCGAGCAGTGATTATTTATGTATCTCCGAGCACTAATTGGTAATAAGTTTGTGTCATTCTCTTTCCTTTTGTAGTTTTTTTCTCTTTCATGAATTTCGAGCACTGATGTTGAAGTTCTATTACTATTGGGTAGAGGTCTGAGAGGAGAGTGGTTGAGCCAGAATAATTTGTATTAGTCCCCTGATAATGGATTGCGATTTTTCATGGATGGTTTACGTAATAAATCACCAAAATGCGAATGTGTTTGTTACTTTTACTATAGAGTAATGAGTTATTGTTTTGTGATTCTCTGTTTCATTTATGATGAATCATGCATATATTTTCTAGTGGTGATCTTAAATTGTATTGTGCAGATTGTTCTCATCTGTGATGTGCTTCTCGTTATTCATGAGTTCTATTTATACACCATACATATCTTTCACTTTCAAGTTTCAAGTATGTTCATTGTAAACTTGTGAAAGAAATTATAGCATTCTTACGACTAATATCAAAGGCACATCACATAGCAGACTTGTTTTATTATGATATGGTAACAACATTCTAAATATATCATCATAAGCTGTAGAAAATCTATTTTATTATAATTGAAGTATGACATTCTCATGCTGAAGCAGGCGTTCGGGTCGGGTTGGGTCGGGCCTCAAAGCTGCGGGTCGTGTCGAAGAATGCGTTGTCTAGGTGCCTGAGAAGCCGCTCGGGCTCTACGATCCATCATTTGACAAGGATTCGTGCGGGGTTGGGTTCGTTGTGGAGCTTTCTGATGAAAGCAGTAGTAAAACGGTACTTTCCTGTGAATTTTGTGCTTGTGTATGTGTATGTTCCGGTTGATGATGCTTAAAGTTTGATTTTTAGGTGACGGACGCTATTGAAATGTTGGTTCGAATGACGCACAGAGGTACATGTTGCTGCGAGACGAATACTGGAGATGGAGCTAGAATTTTTGTTGGGCTTCCACATGATTATTACAGAGAGGTTGATTTTTTTCAACTTATATACCTTCAATTCTGTAAATATTAAATATTCAAAAAAGATCTGTGTGTTCTTCTCAGTAAATAGTTTTGGTTGTTTGTTTGATCAAGATGGAGCTAGGTTTTGACATCTTACCTTTAAATGAAGATCTTGTAAAAAAAATGTGAAACTAATTTAACTAGATAAAACAGCTTTACTTTTTATTTCTGGTTCTTTTGAGTGAGTATGTTTTCTTTTTGTTCATTTAAATGAATTTGAGATAATGTATTATGAAATCTGGAGTTGATAGTTTCTGGATTGTGTTTTCAGGCTACCAAAGATGCTGGTTTTGAGCTTCCTGCACCTGGAGAATATGCAGTCGGCATGTTTTTCCTGCCTACTTCTGACAGTCGCCGAGAGCAAAGTTGTGTTTACAAAGGTGATTTATTCTTTGGGTACTTCAAAACATTTTCTAGTCGATTTGTGATTTTTTATAATGAAGATTGGTCTCATAACATTGTAGGTCGCTAAGGGGGTGATTGTTTATCAATTCACTTAAAAAAAAACCAATCAAAGCTCAAAATTAACTCAACTTTAACACAACTCCACTATCTCCAATATTTTCAATATAATTAAATAATATCAAACAATCATTCAACCAATCATTCTTACACATCACATCAACTTTAATTCACCATTCATCCTCTCACATAATTTTAACTAACCACCATTTCACATCATTTTTCTCTTACTTTTATATCATATCAACTTGAATTATTTTATTTTAAATATTATTTTAATATATCCACTAACAACTAATCATACCAACGTTTTTCAAAATTAACTATAGTTAAAAAAACTAATTAATTGCTAGATGAATTCATAAACAATCACCCCCTAAGTCACTCGGCCAGCGAAGTTGGAGTTGTGATATTCCTCCAGAGGACGTGTCGAGGAAAGCAAGACTTAACCCTGCGATGATGCTTCTTGTGGACTTTGAAAACCATGTTGGGGTTGATGATGATGCCCTCAAGAAACAGTACTCACTTTGCTCGACCTTACGAGAGTGACTGAAATGTCAGAAATACAGCTGCAGGACATTGTCGAGTCCGTTCAGGAATCCGAAAGGGTTCCTCCTCCCATATCTGGCGTTTTTCTGGTGAGTAGTGCATCAACTCCCTTAATCTTTTTCTCAATGATCTTTTGGATTTCAGAAGCTAAGGGTGTAATTGAATATTATCTCATTTTGGAAATTGTTTTTTTGTCAGAGAATTGTGGCAAAAGATATTTTGAAAGTGGAATTGATAAATTTGAGTGGTAATGGATATGTGATTTGAAATAGAAATACTAAAATGATGATCGGAAGTAATTTGTAGAGTTGAAAATATGGAAGTTGAGTGAAATTTGTGCGAAGATAGTTTTATTGATTTGATGAATCCTATTTAAAGATGACTATAATTTAATTGCTTTGAAAAATTTAGGCATCTCCTGATGATGAAAATATGGAGAACATGGGAATTCATGGCTTGTTGTCCCCGCTAAAAGCGTTGGGCTACACCGTTGAATCCCTGGAGATGCTATTGCTTACCATGGCAAAAGACGGGGTACTTCTTTGTGCTTCACAGGCAGTTTCTTTGCCCCCAGATGCTTTACCTGAGCCACCATCATCTTCTAACAAGGCCGGTGAATCTTCCCGAAGACAGGTTGTACTCTCTCCTTCGAATTCAACAAAGGGTAAAGTTTTGTCGTCAGGGCTGAAGGTAATAATATGATTTCCCAAAATACTGAACCATATTTAACTTGTTACTTGTTGGCTTTGTTGTGTAACCTCTACATCCGTTTTCGTCAATATATATTATATAGATCAGGAGTTTGGCGGGATATCTGAGAATGTTGGGATTTCAAGTCTAACCGGACGTCCCTCTGAAGAAACAAAAGCAGACACAAAACCTGACTGCTTGTTTGCTGGTGTGTTTGGGAGAACGGTCTCCGGAATCAGTGCATATTTACTTACAAGGAGCCACAGCGCAATGCAGTCGTTCAAGTAGATGTTGTGGTTTTTAATCGTGAAAAGGGATCCTATTTAGGACATTTTTGCGGCCACAGCAGCCGAGATGGCGAGTCGTGTATGCTTTTCTGGAAGGTCTTGCCACTTAAATTAATATCTATCGCTACTGAATTTTGTAGATCCTTTCTCTTTCAGGAACCTGCTCAAGTTCCTTCTAAATGGTGGGTATACTATTATAGAGTAGGGAGTAAAATAGCAAAGACCTCAACTTTCTGTTTACTCTGTGTTCTCTTATGGCGACTTGTAAACTTGTTGGCCCAGCT